GCTGTTGCTGTTGCTGTTGCTGTGGATGATGTTGTTGTTGTGGCTGTGTGTTTAATTATTATTGTTTGTGGTTGTTTTTCGGTTGTGGTGTTTATCGTTCACACATCATAAGTGCTGCTATGGTTACTATGGTCGTCTTCGTTCCCAGACTCAATGACCATCACACCATCCGCACATCTCTGACATGTAGCATAATCATTCGCCGCATGGATCGCTACCACGAGCACAATAGCAGCATCAGTTATCAGGTTCACCAATACAACTTCACCTGCATCATGATGAACAGTTTCAGCTTCTTAGTCTTCATCGCAATACTTCTTGCTTGCGTGTTGCATGTTGAATGCCCTCTATGGGATTGGGAGGGACATACATGGCAGTTGAACGGTGGAACATGTGTAATCGAGTGGTCCTGATGAACGCTGCGCAAACAAAATTATGGCCACCTTTGCACAAAGCCTCAATCAGGGTATGCCTTGCTAGGGTTTTTTTTTCGTAAGCAATCACCGCAGGAGACCCATTTGGGTTGCTCTTGGGACCTACCTTTGCAGAGGCAGCCGGTACTCGTGTCGAGTGCTTCAACAGTGTCTGAAGCCTGTGAAAGTGAGTAAAGCCCAGTTCTTGCAGCCCGAGGCCTTGCTACATGGATGCTTCGTGCGATCGGCATTGGCAGAGTTGCTGTGCCGGTTTCGGCACGACAAGTGGGGAAAGGGTAAAGCCGGACAAGAAGCAGCGCAGCATCGTCCAGAGCCTGCCAGTCGCAGAGGTCTTGGAATTTGTGCTTGAGCAGGTCTTCGAACGGGCATGTTTGGAGCGACTTGTCCTCGAGTCCTTCTACGTTCATCAGCGGATCCAGCAGGAGATCTCCAAGCATGAAATGAAAGCTTCAAGTCTTTCACCATCTACAAAGCGGAACATTGGAAAGCTCCTGTCTCGAATGGACTGGTGTCGTTTGATACAGTTCGTCAAGAAGAACTCAGGATGTGACCCCGATTTCCTCAACTTGGTTCAGACACGGATGACGTGCCTTCGACCAGGAGATTTCAGTGACATGAACAACCTGGCGTATGCACAGTCCGTGTGGCTCTAGATGCAGCCTCACTCACCTTCTGAGCTGTGGTGTCTCGAGTCGGCCGCAATTGTAATTTTTAAGGCAACTGCCGGCATGGGCAAACATGCAGGGCAGGGAGTGCGACTCACAGCAGTTCGCATCTCCAACTAATCTGATCCAGCATGGCTGGCCAACGAAAATCCCCTTTTGCAGTATTGCACCAAGCGCCTGCACAGACCTGAGCTGCAGACCTCGGCAGTGTGTTTTCTCTTGGCACGAGACACACTGGCTAGGCCTAGGCTAAGATTGTTCATGTCCTTTTCTGCGGCGGGTGCAGGCAGAGTCCTTTACGCATACCCGGATATGCCAATGCCGTGTGTGCGAGTCTCACCATTCATTCTCGCCTGAGAATTCCCAGCACAGTTTGAAGGCACATAGCAGTGCACATCAAAGCCTGTACAGTGTATCATGGAGGTACAGTGAACGCACAGTCTTGTAAACGCATGGATGAAAACTAGTCGCTTCACGGACGGCCTGCTCCTCGTGAGTTGATTGGCAAGAGCGGCACTGAAGTGTGTATGTTATAGAGGGGCCTGAAAATTACCTATACTATTTCGGAGGTTCCTTATTATGATTAAGTATAGTATAATGGACCCCAAGACCCTAGTCTAATTACTATCTCGAAGCTTGCGAATGATTACCAATGCTACTCCTTAGACTTCCTTTGTCTCAGTATGCGAAAACATTATGCCCCCCCCCCAGACCCTATTCTATAATGATCAGGCCCGGAGATGCCTTAGGATTCCGTAGAACCTAAATATATGCATGGGACAGACGCAAGGCTTATTAAATGAGCCCTATTATATGTGACCCTTGTGAAGGCCCTTCTCCTATGGCCAATCGGAGGTTTGGACCCAGCAAGAATGGAAGGGTTTAGGGTTTAGGGGTTTACGGTTTAGGGATTTAGAGGTTTAGGGTTTAGGGGGGTCTAGGGTTTAGGGACTTAGGGGTTTAGGGATTTAGGGGCCACCTAAGTCGCGAGGGCTTAGGTCCGTAAATGATGGTCAGCTAAGCTAGTTCCGACTTGGGGTGAACTTTATAGCATCCTGGGGTAGGGGCCTAAATAATTACCACCACTATTGTGGGGGTTCCTTATGATAATTATAGTATAATGGGCCCCAAAACCTTATTCTGATTATTACGGCCCCTATATTAAATGTAAAACTTGGTTAAACAAAGAAGGGAACTACACTGGAGACCCGAGGCAGGACGAATATGCACATCCTGACAAACCTGACTTCTTCTGAAAGCATCTTCAGCCGCACGTTGCTAAAAGCTAGCGCTCTCGGTTTACATTAGGGACCGTTAGGGGTTACGTTCTCTTGAAATCTTGCCTCATCCATCAACATAGAAGCCTAAACGAGCACCAATATTATTCCTTGGGGTTCCTGGTTATAGTTACGGTAGAAGGTAATCCGAACCCTCTGCTTGTTAAGGCCCCTCTGTTGTGCAGATGTTAGAGGCCCTGTTCTCACCTGCTTGCAACCGACAGTTTTTCTAATATAGGGCCTAAATAACTACCTATACTATTCTGGGGGTCCTTGTTATACTTATATAGTGTAACATACCCCCAAAACCTATTCTAAGTATTAAGGCCCCTAAACCCTTAAGCCTTATAGTAGCCCTTATAGAATCCTGTTAAGAAGCCCTTTAAACCCTACTCTAACTACTAAGGCCCCTACACGCTTGCCAGGTGAAGGTGTTCTCCGTGCAATCCAGCCCAGAGCTCGGTCCGCTGTGCGGTGCCGGCTTGCTCAAGCAATATAGGGACCTTAATACGTATACTATTTTGGAGGGTTTCTCATTATAGTTAAATTATATGTGTATATATATAGATATATAATAATAATAATATACCCCAAAACCATATTCTAAATATTAAGGCCCCTACGTTACTGCTTCATTCGTTGTTGCTGCTGGGTGCACAACTTGGCATGCTTACACATGCCAGATATCGTGCAGCGAAAGCAACTGCACTCGCGAGCAGCAGTACGTACAGTGGCTTTTGAGATGTGTGTGCAGCGGAGTCTTGGATTCGTTGGCATTGTCCATGAATGCAACCGGTACAGTGAGACCTGCGCGTGCCATCATCCCTGCGTTGCTCTGACGATGGAGAAGTGGCGATTGAGTTTGACTAAACTCCAGCCTACGGGAGTGAATTGACTGGTGCTGCAAGTTCGAAGCCGTGCAATTAGTTTCGGCTGATAGTCATGAACCCCTACTCACTACTCGAGTTATTTGCTCTTCGAAAACATGCATTTGGGGTTCAGGGCTTGGGGCAGGGTTTAGGGTGCAGGGTATCCTTCTAGCCAGCGGTTGCTTGCTAATACTTCTCGGCATGATTCAACGGTGCCCAATATCTTGCACGGTCGAAGGAAAACATATCATATCATAGGTGATTATGATGTATATAGATATATACACATCATATGTGTGTATATACATATATGTATACACATCATAATAATATAACTGTATATATATATATATATGTAATAACGCTATGGTGTCTTCAGGAGTTTCAAGGTTTCATAGCTTGTGCAACACGGACCCAGCTTTTGCACGTCGGGCCCGATGTCACAAAAGTGAAACTGGCTGCCAAGTCTGCTCCCCTGTAAGCTTGGGCGGTGCCTGCATGATTGTTGCCATGTCCACTTGGCATGGCATTTCCTGTGTTTGCATGCAACATGTACTCAGAGATCTTGTATCGGGCAACCTCTGACTCAGTATCATTGCTATGCCCACCAGTTTTCGGATTACGAAAGTTGATACCGTGGTCACAAGAGCCTAACATCTTCAAGCCGCTGTCGTTGGCCGCCTTCGTTGTGGAAATCCAACCGTCCGATGCTCTTCACATGCTCCGAGAGTAGCGAGATACTCCTCTGGGCTTCTTGTCCAGTGCAGTCTTGGGGTGGTCTAAGACAAGAAGCAGCCACACGCTTGGCACCTTTGCCATGTTTCTTCACTTGCTTGACACCGGAATCGACAGCAAACCACATCCAGCGGCTGTGCTCGGTCGTATTCTTGCTGGTGCCATGCTTAATTTTTGCTACCATGCCTTGCATGGTTTGACAAGGCATCCTCACTTTCTTGATCTTGATTCTTGGCTTCTTGCGCTTGGACTGGCCACGACCGGTAGCCTTTTTCCCCACCATGTAGCTCAGCCTGCCTACATGAGCTTCATGGACCAAATAGTAGGGAGTTAGGGTCCCCTCTTTGTACCACTAAATACGGCTATATTATGGCCCGCAAGAGTAGGTAGTTAGGGTCTAAGTGAGGGTAGATGGAGGGTCGAGGCACAAGCTCCACATGATCACGAGAAAGACTCCGAGCAGACCAATTAATGTGAGAGAAGCGTCAGCAACCTGAACCCTAAGCACTAAAGCCCTAAACCTTACGGAAAATAGGGCTCAAAAAACAAAATAAACCGAAAACCGGAAAACTCTGATTATACCCCTGAACCCTACAACAACCCGACACCCCAAAATCCTACAACACTTAAAATCCCGCCCAAAAAAACTAGAAAGCCCTAAACGTCCGACTCCAGGCCAAGACCCGCAAGCTCCTTGGAGCAACAAGCCTCAAGAGGCCTACAAGGGCTTAGGGCTTAGGGCTTAGGGCTCGGGTTTAGGGTTAAGGATATAGGGTTTAGGGTTGAGGGTGTAGGCAGGCAATGAGGTGATTCGGGTAATCGCTTCCTTTGGCTTAGCATAGGTCTGAACCTGAATAGTGAATAGCAGCGTCCCCGCATAGTCCATCTATCCTTCTATCTATCTATCTATCTATCTATCTATCTATCTATCTGTCTATCTGTGTCTGTCTGTCTGTCTATGTCTATCTTCCTGTCTATATCTCTATCTGTATCTATATCTAGACATATATCTATATCTATATCTATATCTATATATTTATCTACATCTATATCTATCTGTCTATTCATATCTGCCTGTCTGTCTATCTACCGGTCCATCTACCGATCTATCTATGTATCTTTCTATCTATCTACCTGTCTATCTATCTGTTTATTTATCTGTCTCTCTGTATATGTATATATATATATATACATATATATATATATATCTAATCATCATACTTATTTTCCTATATACATATATACATCTATATTATACATAGGTAAATACGTACATGCATACACAAAATTAGGAAAGCAAAATACATATGAATGTAAATGTACATATACATATGCATGCATATATTGTTTAAACACATATATAGATATTCGCAGGTGTATGAATGAATGAATTAGTTAGTTATTTGTTCATTAATGAATTAATTAGCTCATGAATTAATGAATTAACTAACTAGTGAATTAATTAATCACTGAATTGGTTAATTAATGAAGCAATGCATGCATGCACGTATGTATGTATGTATGTATTTATGTATGTATGTATGTATGTATGTATGTATGTATGTATGTATGTATGTGTGTATGTATGTTATGTATGTATGTATGCATGTGCATGCATGCATGCATGCATGCATGCATGCATGGATGGATGGATGGATGTATGTATGTATGTATGTATGTATGTAAGCATACTCAAAAGCTCTATTCTATGTACCAAGGCACGTACGCTTTGACTCCGTGATAAGACAGTTCCGGAACTCCAACACCGAATCCTGAGTAGTAGGACACTTGCTCCAAAAAATCCCGCAATTCCTTAGTTTAGATTTGCGAAACTCCCCATGCGAGTATACTTTAGGTACGAGCAGAAATCTGTATCTTAAAGCGGGCATTGTGTTTGCACTCGTGACATATTTTGTATTATTGAGTCACTCCTCGGGTGGTTGTAACCGTGTGAATCACCTCATCACTCTGCATCCCTCAACGTGAAAGTACGAATCATGCTTGCAAGGTCAGTGTACATAGTGTACGTGACTCGACTGCAAGCAATGTATCTCATTTTGCAAACAGAGCCTGATTTCAAGGTGAAAGGTGAAAGACGGGAAGTGCTCAACCGGAGGTGCACATGACTAATTCACTTAGTTTGTGTTCATCACTAAATTTGTGTTCATTCCAAAAGCTTGTACTCCCAACTCAAACAAGACAATCGAAATCTATACCTACAAGCCCCGATAGGAAACCCTCACGAAGCCTTTTTTAACACCCTTTTAAAAACTCCAAGCCATAAGTCCTAAACCTCAAACGGCGCGTCAGGAGACTTCGGGATCTGGCTGCGTCATCCTCCATGAAGGCAAAGAGCTTCTCGGATGTTTGCTGCGGGTTTCGGTTTCGGGTTCGTTGGATTTGTAGGAATGTAGGGCTTTTATTCGGCTTTGGGTTTAAAGGTTTTCGGACTTTGTGTTCAAGGGTTTAATGGTGGGAATGGGTTTGGGCAGTTTAGGGCATAGTTTTGATCGCGCAGTGGAGCTGCAGGATTTTAGCTTTAAGGTTTAGGGCTTTGGACTTACCAGGGTTCTGGAGTGTCTGATCAAAACGATGCGGCCTCAGCAAGATACCACAATCCTGCTTCAAGCAACATTTCGAAGGGATCACCTGTCAATATGAGCTGATATCCCCCTATCATGGTCCGCAGATGGTTGCATGCTTGAAGCTAGATTTTGAGATCGTTACTGTTGAGACTGAGGTATGAGGGGCCTCAGAACAGCAGGAGGCAGGTCGCAGCCCGATCTCGAGCAAAGCAACTCCTTAGGCAAGTTTCCTCGTCTTCGTTGTCAGAACAACATGAATCTCAATAAGTGCTAATGCCAGTTTCGATATTATCGGTCTTCTGCCCCGGCGTCACCAAACTCTAAGAAAGCGATCATGCAAGGCGCTCCAGCGCATGGGTTCTATCGGTCAATACAAAGCGGGGTTTAGCGATCTAGGGGTTTAGGGTTTAGGGCTTAGGGGTTTAGCGGTTAGGGTTTATGTAGGATTTAGGGGTTCAGGGGCTTACAATACCACGAGACGTTGCAAATGAGGTGCATCCTTACGAACGCGCATGTGGTCGCCGATGCCACCTACGTCGAGGTCGGTTGTGGGCTTCCCCAAAGGGTCCTAAGTTCTACATAGTAGAAAGTCGGGCTTCTATAGTAGGAATTGCCAAGATTTGCCAAGTATTTTGGTTTGGGTAAGTACCTAGCCCCTCCGTCTACCCTCCATCAGTGGGGCCGAACACCTTGATTTAAGGGTAAAAATCCACCATATAAGAATCGTTGACCCTTTGGGCTGTAGCCAGGGCCATGACTGAATCAGCGTTGCAGATGCTTGCAGCCAGCACTGTTTGGTCTGGCTTAGATGGCATGGGACATCATGGGACCTTGGATTGCAACTTCGTGGTGCTTGCTGGGAGTTCTGTCTTGTCTAGCGAGTCTAGCGATGTCAGCCAGGCTTTGCAGCGTTTACCTGGGATCTCCAAACACCAAACGCCAACCGAGAATCTCGCAGTCGGACGTCCCGGAAGCTGCCACCTAAATCCCTCCTCCACGGATCATGAGAAGTCGCAGGGTTCGGGGTTGAGGGAGGGCTAAGTAACTGGTTTTTGATGTCGAACATATGAAGCACGACTCGTGGCTAGGGTCCCACCGCCAGGTTCGGAAGGCCGGCGATGCAATGAAGTACCCAGCGCTTTGGCCATTAGGATCTGGTAGGCAGCTTCTCGAGTGCCGTCTTGGTGGTTAAGTCCTACAAACCCCCAAACCCTAAACCCTAAATCCTAAACCCTAAACCCTAAACCTTAAACCCTAAACCCTAAACCCTAAACCCCAAACCCTAACTGACTGTCCTGGCCGTACTTGCCGTTCGGAACCTTCGGGCTTCGGACTTAGGAGCTTTTAAAAAAACCCTGATACAGTGGCCTTAATAATTCGAATAGGGTTTGGGGTTTAGGATTTAGGGTTTAGGGTTTAGGGTTTAGGGTTCCCGAATACAGTGGCCTGAATAATTCGATTAGGGTTTGGGGAGTATATTATACTATAAGCATGATACGGCACCTCCCCAAAACCCTGTTCTGATTATTGAGGCCCCTACATTAAGTGCTCATGGCGCAGCTTTCCTGGCAATGCTCCTCTTCCTGCTGTCCCCGGCGCTAATGCTGGCAGCCGTACTCGTCCCAAACCCCAAAACCCTGAAACTGTAAACCATAAACCCTAAGCCGTGGTCGTAATATAGGGGCCTTAAAAATTACCTATACTATTTTGGTGGCTCCTTAATTTAAGTATAGTATAATCTACCCCCAAAGCTCTGATGAAGTTATTGAGGCCCCTACATTAATCGCACTCACGAGCAGAAGCAGTAGCAGTAGCAGAAAAGGTCCTAGACCGGCCAAAGGGTTGCAGTTACTGGCCGTGGCTGCTAAAACAGTGATGTTAGGGTTTAGGGTTTAGGCTAGGGTTTAGGGTTTAGGGTTTAGTTAGTACTAATAACATCCAATAACAATAGCAACAGCAATAGCACTAGCAACATCAAGATAAAGATAAACAGGCTGATACTAATGACCACCAAAAAACATCATCAATACTAAAAGAGTTCAAAATAACTATACCCATTACTTGTAGTCAGAGCAAAGGCTCCGACGCGTAGGGTTCATTGGGCTTGGTACCTGGGCTCGTCTTCTAAGTTTTCAGCTCCTTCCCGAATTCCGAGCAGTTTTATGTGGACTGTACGGTTTAGGGTTTAGGGTTGTACTATACTCTAGTATGTTGTAGTATCTCATATTATAGTACTCTAGGGTACTACTTCATTGTGCTATAGAATAACTTGGCATTGTATTGCCGGTGGCATGCAGTCCCAGGCACTGCGCGTGAAGACGTCGCACGAGTGCGACTTGGCTTTGCTGCGTCAGTGGCCCAGGGGAGAACAGCGAAGGAAGATCCGTCTATGCAAACTTTTCTTCACAAACTCGAATCACTTTAGATGTTTCCTTAGCACTTGTTGGGATCGTACCGGTCATACATATGTGTCACGCACATAAGTTTTTTGGCAACCTGTGGTGTTTGTGCTCGTTCTGTTAGTTTCTGCTGTCCGTTCTGCACTAGCAGGGTACACACACACACTTACACACGTGCACGCATGCATGTATGCATGCATGTGTATTTATCTGCATGTAGTTTTGTGATGGTATAGGCGTGTGTACAATTAACTAAATATAGTATATACAGGCCAGTATATTACTGTAAATATATCATATCTATGCATCTGAACTCCCGTCCCAATTGACCCATGTTGGGGTGCTTCGGTACGCTGACACCTGCCTTTCACGAACCTGCTTACCGTACTATTTCTCGAGTGTTCCGTGCCAATCGTCTATTGCTGACAATCCCTGCTTCTGTCCGAGCAAGGGCCTGTTTAACACAAAAACTCTGTGAAATCGAAGACTTCCGGTGTAATGATAATGCAATGCCAGAATTCCCCGTCCGCATGTGTCTGGGTATGTGCTTAAGGCTTAGTGTATTGTAGCAGATTATTTTGTACCGGGTATATATATATATACACATACCTGTATATATATATATATATATAATATAATATATATATATATATACAGATATGGATGTGTCTATGGATATATATATATATATATGTAGACACACATATTCTTAGGCTGTTCGCAAGTGGCTTTAGTTGGGTGGGCCGCCTAATTGTAGCTGCTGCCATGCCCAAAACAAGCCAAAGCCACAGTCACTGGCTACCATATTTTCATTTAGATGTGCACGCAAATCTATCAACATCAAGATCTGTGCCCATATGATACACATACATACGTATATACACCTGCACAGACAGCCTTTCCGCAGCAGTGCAAGCGCCCGAGGATGCGCAATTTTGGTTCCGATGGCTTCCGGATCCCTCTTTCGCATGTTTCATAGTCGTCCAGTTCCCGTTCTTCAAAACCGTCAGATTTCTTCAGCTCTGTCTTTGCAGTTTTTACCTCGCATGCTGGCGTTTTGGCTCCAGCCCTAATAGCGCAGCTCAGATTGGTGCTCTCGCTCTGCGCATCATGATTTTGGAGCTTTGCTTGGCCGCTGCTGGTGTCTGCACGTTGCAGATGGCATGGAATTTCTTCTCCAGACCGAAGATGTCGCTGCCCCAACATTTTTGATGCATGTTGAGCGTCTTTTCAAGCACAAAGATATATGGATGACCTGTCACAGCCGGCAACCTACTCAACGCTTGCATGGACATGGGTTACTGCGGAGTTCCATGCTTGGCAGAGCTATGATTACTTCAGTTGTCCTAGCAGGACCATTTTGTTACCATGCCTTACCCCAGAGCAGGTGGAAAAGTTCATGTCGTGGCAAAACTAGTCCGTTTCAGCCCTCAGAGCCCTCCCGCGCTGCAGCAGAGATGTTGAAGCAAACCCCCTAAGCCCTGAACCCTACACCCTCATTCCGAAATCACGCCGAAGATTATCCAAAATACTCCGGCGCCATGCTATAGTATGTTCTTAGAGTAGATCCTAATATATCACTGTAGGGCCTTGGGTTTAGGGTTCTAAACCCAACCCCCCCAAACCCGAAGCCAGGTCGGTTGAGGGCAAGCACGTGCTCATCACGGGGGGCTCTCAAGGGCTTGGGCTCCTCGGCAATGTCTTGGGGTTTAGGGTTTAAGAGATGCATGTGTGTGTGTATATATATATATATGCATACATATAAATATAAGTGTATGCGTGAATGGGTTTCACACCGGTTTTCACACCCACATACATATCTACGTGCACGTACATGTGTCTTTGTCCATCTGAAGCTTTGACGCCCAAGCTTTTGCTTTCTACCTGCTTGGCACGTCGTACCCTCCATTACTCGGAGCTTCCATACTGATATCTCAAACCCGGTCTTCCAGATTTGTATGCGGATCATTGTTCGTGAAGCCACAGGGTACTCGGACACAGTGACAGTAGCTGCACGTGATTCATTGCACCTGTACAGATTTCTACATCTGTCTATCACTGTTCTTCCTCCATTGAGGTATTGATGGTTTCGCTCATGTCTGCTACTACTACTACTACTACTACTACTACTACTACTACTACTATACTACTGCTACTACTACTCATGGTTTGTTTCTCTCCGGTACGTCCTACGCTCGCAAAACCTCAGTCCTGCACAGTATTACCCTCATCCTGAGAGGGCCTGATCCTGTTCTGATTACGTTGTGGACCTCTGCCAAAATGCCCATCCTGCGCCACCGAGAGACCTGTTACTTTACCTTGAAGCAACAGCAAACTCAAGAGAAGACGAGACCTTTAACCTTTTTGGGCTTTTCGGGTACTACAATATCCCTCTTTCCTCCCAAGGGTTCCTTTAGTTTCATAGGATAGGATACTGGACGAGCAATTAAATCCCTAAATCCTCATAAATCCCAGAGACAAGCAAATGGTGGGTTCCAGCATTCTCAGGCTTGCCGTTGCCAAGCTTTGCTTCGCACGGGGCGCCAGGGTGACAATCGTTGCGCGGACGAAAGCCAAGCTTGAGCACTTGGGAATCAAGACATTGTTCCAACGTCTCGAAGGAAATATAGAAGCTTGAATAACGACCTATATTATCCATTCCTGAGGCTTTCTCATCATAATTATTGTAAATTTACCCTAAGCTTATTCTGATATTGCAGCCCCCTATATTACGCCTATAGAGTTGGCAGTAGCAGCATTCTGTTCGGCACTTTGGGTGTTGAGCATCTTGGGATCTCTTCAGAGAAGAACGAGGCATCACTGTGGACCAACCTACCAACCTCTCGTTGACCACGATTTGGGTTGTGACAAGGGCTCCGGGGCAGTACTTGGAGGTTCATGGGTAGTTATAAGTGGGGTTATAAGTCCCCTAATATGGGTTATAATTATAGTTACCCTACTTACAACCCTACTTATATCTACACATGAACCTCCAAGTTGGGTTGTGACAAGGGCTTCGGGGCAGTACTCCTTTAACGAATGAGCATTCTGAAAACTTTTCACGCACACTCACAGATGCGCACACACACGCACACACACATATTCACGCACACACTTGCCTTACGGTATTACAGCAGACTGGTTCAAAACATTCAGGCTCCTAAGCCGTATGACCCCAAGGCCCTAAACCCCAATCCGATAAGTCTCCCCGCTCCGACCACACCAGCTCCGGTTCTTCTGGCAAAGGCAAGCGTGCGAGGAGGTTCGGAGCCAAGGAGCTGCTACAGGACGGGTAGCACCTAAAGGCTCATGGGCTTAGTCGATTGAGGTTCTTAGTATTTCTTAGTATTCAGAACTGTCGTTACTCTATTTACTCTATTTATATAGCCCTGTGGTACTACGTGGACTAAGCCCCCTTGTCGTTTCAGTAGGGTGTAATTAGGGTAGTAGTAAGGAGGCGTTTCGGCTGCTGGTGCAAGTTCTGGTTTAGACTTGAAGGGTTGTCTATGTCGTGTTTAAACGCATCCCGAAGCCCGAAGCATGGCTCTGGTCCACTCCAGCGCGCATGTTCTCGAGGACTTTGAGGAGTCGATGCGTCCTATAAGGGGTCTGAGCGATTTGCATAACAATACTTGTACTTTCTTATGGCCCGACTACAGTTATATTATTATTGTTCCCCCTCCCCCACGCCCCCAACCCATTATCCAGGCTCCTAGATAATCTTGACGGGTCCACAGACCTCCATGCCAACAGGTGCGAAGATACATGAGAATTTCTCAAAGAATCAAGCTGCACGGCCTTAGCAGAGACATCGATCGTCCTTCTGCCCTCCGCCGCCCAGCCCAATGTCCATGCATATCGCCTGGCAAGGAGCAAAGATTCAATACTTGGAGATGGACGTCTCCAGTATGAAGTGTACAGGGCCCAGTGATGGATTCAGGATGCTTCGTCAAATCTGGGTATCAAAATGAGCCAGTGCTGTCAAAAGAGCCAACAAATGAGCCAACAGGGCCCTGCACCACCACGGTGCTCTTCAATACCGTGTCATAATCCCTGTCCACGTCCGAATCACTAAAAGCTCCTTAGAACCCACACACTCTGGCCCAGGCAGTACCTTCTCCGAGCTCATGGGCCGCGCTGCAGAAAGCTTCGGGCGTGTGGATGTGGTGGTGGCCAATGCGGGGACAGGCCGGGGCTGCCGAAGAGGAGGTGTTGGCTTTACTTGGAGGTTCATGGGTAGTTATAAGTGGGGTTAGAAGTCCCTTAACTTAATATGGGTTATAATTACAGTTACCCTACTTATAACCCTGCTTATAACTACCCATGAACCTCCAAGTGGGGTCCACCGACGCGGGATGTGCTGTCGGGCCGTGGGGGCACAGTGCTATGGTGCAACATCCGCGGGCTTGAGCTTCGCCACCATTTCGAAACTTTAGCTTCAGGTTTAAACTTGGATTTTCGGGACCTGCGGGTTCAGGGTGCAGGCCTCCACGGACGAATCGTAATTTTGTTTTACTGCTACGGGACAGGCAGGATCCGAGGTGGAACGAAGTGGCTTATGGCTCGGAGAAATTTGCCGTACTCAGGAGAACTATGAATGCAAGACTCTGATTGAGACAGGCGATGCTTTTCGCACCTGAGATTCATTTCCCTTCCTTCCCGAAGCCGAACGTGACGCTTACCCCCGGAAAACACTAAGCCGATGATAGCAAAACCTCAGCCGCAAGCTCCAGGCCAACCCCCGTCCGAGATGGAGCTCTGTCATCGTCGTAGAGCAGAGAGACAAGGGCCACACAAACTCTGCAGCAATCCTGAACCCAGGACGCCAGAAACCCAAACCCCAAAGCCTAAACCCTAAACAGACCAGCCGCAGGTGTTGCGAAGTTGCTTGTTGGGTCGGAGCTGACCCAGCTAGACGAGTTGATGGAGGCTTTTGGACCTGACCTCGTAAGCCTTCGAAGATTGAAAGAGCTAAAATAGGGGCCTGAATAATTACCTATGTTATCTCGAGGGCTCCTTGATTATTGTATTTATAGTATAGTATCCACCAAAACCCTATTCTAATTGTTTAAGCCCCCCGGTTAGCCAGCTAGCTGGGTGCCTTAAGGGGTTGGCTATGGCGGCTGGTGCTCGAAGTGTTGCCGGACCTTACCGGCCCAGGGCTTTCAGGCTCGATTTGAGGTACAGATGACAACCCTCCCTCATCCGCCCTTGGAGGCACAGATCTCGACAAATCTCATGGGCAGCCTGAGATGCGTGCCGCGACAGAGTTCAGGGTTTTGGGTTTAGAGTTTATGGAGGAGGCCAGGCTTTGAACGCTGCAGTAAATGCAGGTTGCTTCAAACATCCTGTGTGAAAGCTTCAGGCTTTTGAGTTCCTCGACAGTGCAAGCTCCTAGATTACCCCGTGCCTATAACATAAGCCGTCCTGGATCTTTACAGCCGTCCTTCTGGAGGTGCTGTTAATGATTTTCAGGTTTAGAGGGTTTGCAAAGTGGTCTTAGGGCCTCTAGGTTTCCTCTGTTACACAGGGGTTCCAGGTACGCCCAGGGTTCTTCAACATCGCAACTGCTCAGGCCATTGCTGCGGGGCAAGTGATGGCCAGCGATGGCCAAGGCAACGTCGGGCAAGGATGGTAGGCAAGTGGAAATGGCCCCTGACGATGGTGTTGTGTCCTCCAGCTCAGCAGCTCACAAGTGGTTCTTACGGAGATGTTTGTGATCCCGTGATCATGAACATCAGGATCCTTACTCTGATTTCTGAGTACATGGTGGAGATGCAGCTTCAGGGTGGTGTAGCCGAAGCCCCACAGCCCTGAGATTGATACGGCTTTGGTTGAAGGTGGTCGAATTTGCATCGTGTCCTCGGCGGCTGGCTTGATCTCCTTGCCAGGTCGCTTTATCCGCAACTGATTTCAAGGTATTGCCAGGCATTCGATGCATCAATTCCGGTCATCCTGGCAATTCTATTTCTGAGTTAGACTCGCTTCTTGATGCAACTTCGAGCTGCTCGCTGCCGCGCCGCTGAAGGAGAATTCTTCCCAATGATCGCCGGCTCGGACCCCCTAAACCCTACCTATAGTCTCCATTGTAGTCCCTTTTTTTTGGTTTAACCAATTATATATTAAGAATTTTATAAAGTATCCCCCAAAAGGAACTACGATAGAGACTATAGGTAAACCGTAGGTAGAGCCAGTGACTTCAGTCCCTCCTCACTGAGGCTACTCCATCTACTCTGCCACCAAATTTGGACACCGAGGTAGGGCCGCGATAGCTTTCTACATATAAACCTAGAAACCAAATGGTGTAGGGGCCTAAATTATCTTACCTACACTATGGCGGGGGGTTCCTTCTTATAATTATAGTAGAATGGGCCCCAGAACTATGGTGGGGGTTCCTTCTTATACTTATAGCATTATGGGCCCCAGAACCCTATTCTAATTATTAAGGCCCCTACATTTACAACGGAAATTACATGTACATCCCCGAATTTCAGCTCCCCTTCCTGGACGACCCGCACGCCCCAAGGCCGCAATGAATTGTTCTAATGGAGAACCCCAAACATTCATTAACTAGTATTGCCTTGTAATCATCATAGCCCGCAAAAATACATATTTAGAGTATAGTAGTATGCCCCCCCCCCTCCAAAACCCTATCGAACATGGCCCCGCTGAGAAATCTAGAGCTTGCGTGTTCTTGATCGTGGTGTGGCATGGAGTGGCAGGCAAGACCCTGCAATTCGGTTCTACATTTGAACGTTTAGGGTTTAGGAGTCTAATCCCTTTGCTTTTGGTTCTTCCAATGTGTGACTAGGCTCTGACAGAAGTCAGCATCGCCCACCCTCAATCATCACGTCGCATGCCGTTGAAGACGTAGTAAGACTGCATCCGCAATGGCCCATGCCTCCGTACGCACATTTCCATCTAACGTACATCGCACCTGGACCGGTCACAACTCGCTCCAGCTTCACTTGAATCATGCCCATGCCGAGCCAGGCACCACATACCCCGGCGAGCAAAACCAAGTTTAAGAGCAGTCAGAGTGCAGAGTCCCACATGCACCTTGCAACAGTTCAGCATCGAAGTCTTAGGACGATGAGTTGCCGATGATAAAGCCCTGGAGTTCATGGTAACCTTAGTGTCACTCACTTTCAACATAAGAAGTGCACAAGTAGTATGGGGCCTTAATAATTGGAATAGGGTTTTGGGGTATATTAGGCTATAAGGGAACCCCCAAAACCCTGTTCTAATTATTACGGCCCCTACAGTAATCACTAAGGGAGGAGTCGCTTTGTTGTGACACGAAGCACCCAGTAGGCCCTTATCTTCCTGACGCGGCACACGCCGATTATTGAAGCCGAAGGAAATTTTTCAAAACATAAATTCCGTGGTGCTCCAAATTACAACTACATTATAACATGCCCGAAATCCCTGTTGGAATCGTTAAGACTCGTATATAAGTTAGGGGTCGAAGCTTGAAGGCCATGCTTGCGCAACTGGAGTCAGCTTGTGGCAGGCTTCCTGGCGGGTGCCTACCACGAGCTGCGCCGACATGGTGTCCATCTCTCAGTCTACTATCCAGGTAGCACCTTGCCGAAATTCAGACAGCCGGGTCCATCGTGGAGGTTTGCCTTGCTCTGGTGGTAGTTTTCTTGGGAGGCTTTTTGACAACCCTAAGCCCTACCTGGACCCTATAAGACCTACCTTCTTAGGGTTTCTGATTATGAGTTCCGTTATATGAGGTAGGTTGTTTGAGATTTAGGGTCCAGGGTTTAGGTAGGTTATCTGGAATCACTTTCAGCGTTCGTTCTGGCGTTCGGACTTTTTGACTTTCTGGGGTGGGGCTGGGGACAAGACCCGTCTTTGCAAAGCCTATAAAGGAACCCGAAACCCTATTCTAATTATTAAGGCCCCTACATTCAGTTACTATAGTTGGTTTAGGGCTTGGAGTTTTGGGATAGTCCGGGATAGTTCTCCCAAAGTGGGTTTCTGGCCTGCTAGCACAACAGGGATAAGCATTGCAGACGAAGCAACTCCAGAGTAATCTTGTTGTTCAGAGTTTGGAGCTGTTGGGCTGATCGCTGCTGCAGCGTGTATGAGGTCCTGTCCTCTCAGGAACAGTCGCACACAATAGGTAGCTGAGCGGTCATTGTTCGAGGGCATCTGATTTCCAGAATGGTTCAGCGGCTGCTCTTGCACGTTGTTCCTGCCAGGTATCAACACTCCAGGCTTTCAAGAGGAAAAGCGACAGATGCCGCCGGTCACCTTGAGGACAGGGTTTTCATGCATCGCGCTGTGCAAGCAGCACCTCCTGTCACCAAGCAGGCAGATGCCTGAGAGCCCGGCGCCACCAATCTCGGCGAGTGTCCTTGATAGCTGTGCAGACCCAAGTTGCCCTTGCAATCAACCTGATTGTACTTCGGCGTTCATGGCGGGCATCAAGAGCACAGCGCATGTGCAAAGCCCTCGGCCCCTGAGCCCCACCTTGGAAGAATCCGAAACCCCGCATCCAGTCAGTGTGATGCCTTACGACTATTCGCTTGACCAGCACCGTTCTTATGTTCATGGTATGCGCCAGCCGGCATGATCGAAAAGCATCGTTGTGAATCATGACGGTTACTATCCGCGTCTCTGTCTCTCTCTCTCTCTCTCTCTCTCGCTCTCCCTCCCTTTACAATCTCCAAGGGTCAACCGGTAGTTCCCCTAGGATACTGGAGAAGCAAGCTGGCATCCTCAGAGAACGGAAACTTTCCTCAGCATTGCCCATGTGGAATGCGACCTCAAAAAACATCAAGTAACAGTCTTCATCAATGCTCACGCTGTTTTCCCATTCTCGCTAAACTAGTGCAGAGGGAATCTGCTGTCTCAGGGTTGAAGTCATGTCTCAGTTGGCCACCGGCATCTTCATACTGCACTGATTCAGTTCAAAGTTCGGGGTTTAGGGTTAGCTTTTATAAAGTGTTTAAGGTTAAGTTTGGAAGGACTGGATGTCTAAGGGTCCACATCGCCCAACTCCTGCAGGATTGAGTCACAATGCTCCGATGTGCCTTGCATGGAATATGCTTTAGTTTCCATGGGGCTGCCCCAATCGGTATGTATCCTCTCAGGGTTGTTGCTAGGGTTCATGGCAGTTTCATCGCCGATGTTGGATTTCAGAGCTGCAGCTGAAGGAAGATGTAAGCTTAATATAAGGGCTTAACTACCTATAACAGTATGATGGACCCCAACACCCTGTGCTTGTTTTTTAAGGCACACAAGCCTGAACGTTTATGGCTCAGGCTTCGGAACCAGTGGTGTTGTCATGAGTAGGTTGCCCGATTGCAGGCTCATGCTTAGTGCTGAGCCACGTTGCATCTTCGAGTTGGGTCAGTATGGATTCAGTGATGACATGTCCACGATCAACTTTGTGTTGACGTTCAGGTTCAGGCTTGCATGTGCATGAGGATGAGCACTGGGAAGCTTAGTGTGCTCCATCAGTACATCCTACATGGATCCATGATGTAAGCAGCAGCACGAACAGTGACGATCTGAGCGTTTGTGTTTGCATAGGCACGAAGGCCTAAACTCCATGAACCCTAAAGCCGTCATGCTAAGCCGAAGCCCTAGTCTAAGCACGCAGCGCACAAGAATTGAGCGATGTATGCGCAAAGTGTATGTAAACGATTCTGGGAGTCTTGAGACAGGCCTTCGATGTAGCCCCTGCCAAGCATCTTGACGTGCAGACAGACTCCCCCTGCCCAAGACCCTAAACCCTAAGCCGCAGACCTTCCACCCCGACTGCAAGCAAGGCCGAGCACCCTGTAGGCGTCCAACCCAAAGTTGACATCGCGACCGAGGTATAAGATACTATGATATTCTAACATATACTATAATATACTACAAGCCACTACCAGATACTTTAATATACTATCAACATAGTATAACATACTCCAAGATACTATAAGTATTCAGGTTACCCCTCCTGTTTGCAGCAGGGCTCAGCCTGCTCAGCGAACTCTGGCTCTGGTCAGTTGGAGGTCTCAAGAAGTACCTATACTATTTGGGGGGATCCTTATTATAACTATACGACAAAGGTCCCCAAAACCCTATTCTAAAAAAATTAGCAATACTATTTGGGGGGTCCTCATTATAATATAGTATAATGGGCCCCCCAACCCTATTCTAATTCTTATCGGCCTTACCAAAAGCAAGCGGAAAAAGGGTCTGGTCGGTCGGAGGTCTCAAGTGCTGAGAGCGTGGCGGACATCATGCTCAGAGGCATCGAGAACGGAACCAAGGAGCCTTGGGTTTGGGGTTTAGGGCTTTGGGGGAAATAGGGCTTCTAGGGTTTAGGGTTTAGGGCTTATCAACCCTAAACCCCAAACCCAGACCCTTTTTAGGTGTTCTAACTGGATAGGCAGGCAGAAAAAAGGTTTCAGCAAAAAGCCCTAAACCCTAAACCCTAAACCCTAAACCCTTAACTCGGGCCCTCCAGGCCCCTTTTACCATGAAGGAAATGATGCGCCGACTCCAAGACCAGACGAGCATGACTCTCATAATCGTATAGAGCTACATATCCCATATCTGCTGCAACCTAGTATCGTAAGCATCGAAAAACACTCGAGTTTGCAACTTACGATAGGGGCCTTAAATAATTACCTATACTATTTAGGGGTTCCTTATTATAAATATAGTATAATTGACCCCCCCCAACCCTATTCTCATTATTAAGGCCCCTACACTAGCTTGATGGGTTTGGGGGTTGGGTGTGTTGTTTTGTTTCGCGTATCTGTCAGTTGGCGAGGGTGCAGCCCAGTCTCTTGCAGCCAGCTCCGCTATACATCAGTCTTCGTCTTGTTGCATCAAGGACTTCAGCACAAAACGGTTCGCAGTTATGAGAGGGACAGCTCATAGTTGAAGTTCCACCGAGCCACTGGTCTTTGGAACAGTACTTGTCGCGGTTGTTAGTGTTGTGTAGTGGTTGCAGATGCCCTATCAGCAGCTGCTGCCGATGCCGCTGTCGTTGCTGTTGCTGTCTTCTTTTCCTTGTTGATGACTTCGCCGTTGTTACTGATCTCGCCGGCGGCGGGGTTGCATCAGCTGATTCGAAGCAGCAGCAGCAGCAGCAGCAGCAGCAGCCGCGGCAGCAACAGCAGCAGCAGCAGCGGCGGCGGCAGAAGGTGGTGGTTGTAGAAGTATAGTACGGTTAGTACTACAGCGGTGGTGGTGGTCGCAGTAGTAGACGCAGTAGCAGCAGCAACAGCAGGAGTAGTAGTAGAAGTAGGAGTAGAAGGTAGTAGTAGTAGTAGTAGTAGTAGTAGTAGTAGTAGTAGTAGTAGAAGTAGAAGTAGTAGCAGTAGTAGTAGTAGTAATAATAATAACAAAACTAATCACCGAAAGCAACTGTCGTAATTGTAATGTTGAAAACACTATAACATGATAGCACGAGCAACAGCACCAGC